TAGCAACAACTCGAATCAAATACCGATGAAATCTTCAAACTCTTATCCTAAGCCACATTTTATGAATCCAAACCCGCAGCGAACTCATCATGTAAACTCAAACCCGATCTACATCGACGGTTATTCCGGAAATTCCCAGGAATTTTCACATGAAAATTACACTCTTCAAGAAGATAATGAACTTCAAAATCATTATTCTAACCATCCAGAAAACTGCGAACCAGAGCAGGATTTTCAAGAAAGCCCTTACGATATCCCACCGAGACGAAATGTCTCCAGACCCGATTTTCGAAATCAATTCCCAAATTCAAACCCTGAATTTAGACAACATGAATCCCAATCTAAACTTTCCAGAACAGAACTTCTGTTAAACCCTCTTCTTACGGTAAATTCTAACAATTTATACTATATTTTTGACGCTACGCAAAAATTCAAAATATTAATAGATACAGGCGCAGGTATTTCTATCTTTAAATATAAAACCGCTGAAAATTACAGAACACGAGTTAAGGAAAATATTACCATCCAAGGTATAACAAATCAAACACTTTTTATTAAAGAATCCACACTTATTCCATTCACCGATAACGACAAACATAAAGTCTATCTTTACGATCTTGATATCGAATTTGACGGAATTCTCGGTTTAGATTTTCTTCATCACTACCAATGTATAATCGATTTAAAGTCCAAAAAACTTATAACGAATTTCAAAACAATGCCTTTACGTAAAGTAGGACACGAATCTGTTCTTCCCAAAATTTGTAAAAAACCTGAACAAAATATTCAAAATCGAATTTCAATCGAACCTAGGACCGAAAGAATTTTCAAATTAAAATGTAGTTTAACAAACACAGACGCTATTCTCCACTCTCAAGAATGCGAAAAAGTTAGGTTACCTAATGCTTTAGTTAAAGTAAATAACAAAGGTGAATTTTTTACTACTGTTATTAACGCTAATGCTATCCCAAAAACTATAGATTTTTCAAATTTATCTATCGAACCTTTTAATACAAATCCTAACGAAAAAGAATTAAATAATATTTTCAATCTTAACTCTCAACCTGTTGATAGGCGCGGTATAATTCAATCCCAGTTACGCACCGATCATTTAAACGAAGAAGAAAAAGAATTAATAACACAACTATGTCTTGATTTTTCTGATATATTCTATTTAGAAGGAGATCATTTAAGTTTTACTAATGAAATTAAACATACTATTGAAACGAACAACGCCAGACCGATTTTTACAAAATCATATAGGTACCCACATGTCCACAAACAAGAAGTAAAGTCACAAATCAACAAAATGCTCGAACAAGGAATCATTCGTCCTTCCACGTCTCCATGGTCTTCCCCTGTTTGGGTTGTCCCAAAAAAATTAGACGCTTCTATGAAACAAAAATTGCGCGTAGTCATCGACTATCGCAAACTAAATGAAGTCTCTATCGACGATAGATACCCTCTTCCCAATATTTCCGATCTCTTAGACCAGTTAGGCAGATGTCAATATTTCACTACTTTGGACCTAGCCTCTGGGTTTCACCAAATTGAAATTGATCCCAAGGACGTTGCTAAAACTGCATTTTCAGTTGAAAATGGTCATTTTGAATTTCTCCGTTTACCCTTCGGACTAAAAAATTCTCCATCCACTTTCCAACGTGTCATGGACAACATTCTCTTAGGTCTTCAAAACGAACGATGTCTCGTTTACATGGACGATATTATCGTTTATTCCGCTACCATACACGAACATATACAAAGGTTAACTGATGTCTTCAAACGCCTTCGTGGTGCAAACCTCAAACTCCAACCTGACAAGTGTGAATTTCTTCGAAAGGAAGTAGCTTATTTAGGGCATCTCGTGACCCCAGATGGATATATATATATATATATATATATATATATATATATATATATATATATATATATATATATATATATATATATATATATATATATATATATATATATATATATATGTATATATGTATATATTTAGATCCCGCTGTTATTTTGCATCATTTCACTTTGCGACTATTCTGCAACTTTGCAATTAAGCATGCTACACTATATATACTGCATGTATATTGAAGAGAAAAAAAATAGGTTAAACGTAATGTACTTTATTTTCCGAAAACACAAAAATTTAAATATACATTTTTTTTTCAAATTGCACAACTTTTTACATCCAGTACAAAATATCTAATTTGCGTCCTTTTTGTATAATTTTCTTTCATATGCTAAAACAAATTTCATCCGTATTCTTCTGGAGGGGGAATATACGGCACACTATAAAATTATTTTGCGTCCACAGATGTTGCCAAGTTTATAATATTTACTTCGCACGTAACCACATAGGTGGGTGCAAAATAAACCTCCTGATGAACTGTATATTACTTGAGAAAGATAACAAACGTATTACTCATATAAAAAATTGTACAAGTCAAAATATTCTACATGTCAGTTTTTGATATATTAGGACTATACATATAGTCATAAAAAGCAGATGAATTGCGGGTGGTGTAATTCTAATGCCGGCTGTGACAAAAACATGTCAGGTCACCACTAGTCCCATTCTCACACACTGTCAGCACACTGAGGCATTACCAATCCACCATTTGCCCTAATTCAATTGTTTTTTTTGTTGTTGTCTTATGGAGCTCTCAAGAAGTAACATGATTCATTGAATGACAACTAAATCTCACCGGCAGCAATTTAATTCGAGGTAGCGACGGCCTACGCCAGATAGTACTTGTTCTACTCAGCGCATTATTTTGCTTTTTTAGGGAAAGCTGGTTGTACATTGACTTCTGCTGGATTTCTTTTCCACAGATTTTGGTTGTCAGCGACCATTCCTAACCGAGGAAAAATCTAGAAGGAGTCAATCTACCGTCGACAGCGTGCCGACGTTTCTTTAAAAAATCATTGGTGGTTCATGTACTAAATAAAACGCTTTTCAAGAACACAATTATTTATTTTATTTATTTATTTTTTTTTTTAATATTGATTTTGTACAAAAACTTTAATTTTATGCCAATCTTTATTTTGAAGCAACGCTGGGTATAGTTCCTTCAATTCTTCGCATTTGGGTGCCTTCTTATTTTTTATTTGTTTTGAAAAATAGAATGTAACTACATTTTTTTGTTCTTCTGTCCATGGAATCAAAATCCTTTTTCGCTTTTTGTCCTTTACTTCTAAAACTGGTTCTAAACTAATGCTTTTTCCTGTTTTTTTACATCCTGGATTAATTCTTCGATTTGATCCATATCTTTTGTTTCTTTTTCCATTTTCCTACTTGTTTTCGTCGAAGTTTCTAGATCTTCATCTTCGCTAGTTTCTTCATTTAAAAGATTTTCTTCTAAATCAATTGTAATTTCGTCCAAGCTTTTCCCCTTATGAACACCTGCCTCTCCTTTTTCCATTAAAAGAAGAAGCTTGGATATCTTTGTTGTCTGATAGACATCGTCTGGCAATCTATATGATCCTCTATGCACGTTGGATGTATGGCCCATGAAATTTGACAGTTGTTCAATTTCATTTTCGGTTAGATTGAATAATTGTGTTAGCGTTGCAAGATGTTTTCGTAGCCTTGTGCATGTTATAGCTTCACACAAATAGCGCCACAACCTTTAGCATATTTTGCAACAACTTTGTAGCCACATATTGGAGTATTCGTGTTAGGGTTTGCAAAAAGGTAGGGGTTGTTGTCATTGACGAAATTTGATCTCGCCTGTAGTACTTGATCAATATGTACCTGCATATCGTGACTAAATATGACTGGCACTCGTCTACTTCTCTTTCCTCTAATCACTATTCTTTTAAAGTGTTGTAACAAATTTTTTTCTGCTTTCGAGATAACTTCACTAAATTCTTCGTAAGAGTTTGATGATTTTTCTGAAGCAACGTAAGTATCCTTTAATAACCGCTGTAATTCTCCTGGTCTCCTTCTATTCAATGAAATAATTCTACAATACACTGTCTCCATCAAAATTAAGAAGGCATTGACATTCATTGCATTTGTAGACAGTAAATTGGCAGCTTCTTTTGCAGTAGATATTAAGTATTCTTTTAGAAGTTTTAGATCAGACGCTAGGGGAACAATTGTTATTTTATTAAATTTATTGATGTTTAGATCATTGCCAGCTCGACTCGATATATCAAATCGCCAGTTAGATGCTAATAAATTTACCATCGTTTTAAATCGAGATTCAATATTTGCCGTTTCAACTGATGGTTCACTTTTTATGGTCATATAAGTTGCAATATCGCAACACTGTCTCAGAGATGTGGAAATATTCATAGCATATGTGGGTGCTACAAACACTTCCTTAATGCTGTCAAATCTTGCCACAGATTTTGTAGCTTCCACCAGTTTATCGTAGTGCTTTGGGTGCAATGCTTCAAATAGATTTGCTATGCTTGGATCCATTTTTTTAAGCTCTAATAAAATTCTTGACAACTCTCGCATTTTTCTACTTGTAACATTAATAAAATGTTTTTCGCGATGTGTCTTAAGATAACGAGCTCCAAAGGCACATATTAAAAAGTCATTCTTTGCCTCTAAAGAAATCTTATCAGGTCTCATTCTAGGAAAAACCTGATCTTTTAATTGTTGGTCAATTCCGGTCAAATTTTTTATCAAAAAGTTTTGACTTGCAACTTGAGCATTTTTTGATGAACTAGCCCTTCTTTGTGTGTCGATATAAAAATTTCGATCTGTAAAATCCCAAGCAGTTTGTGCATGGCAAAAATGAGTTCTCTGGCTCCCGTGCTTCTTTCATCGGTTTGACACAAGCTTCGGAATTTTTAATAAAATTGCCCTTCTTTTTTAATAGGGCTAAAAGTTTTCTGCTTTCCTCACTCTTTTTAGGTTTGGAAAAAATTTGCAATACTTCTAATTCATACGGGTGATTCCTTTCGATATGTCGAGGAAAATTTTGAACATTGCTTTCGCAAAAGTAGCACACGTCCTTTTTCCTAGTATATTTTTTATTTTCTTTTGTATTTCTCAAAGCTTTAATTGTGTTTATTTTTGTATCCGTGGTTTCGTCCTGAAACGGTTTTTAATCCGTAAAATATACGCCACCAATAGCTGACAATACTTACAGAGTCTGGTTGGATTCCTCTGAATTTTGCACTCGAATATTCTGCAAAACCGTAATTTTCTGTAAATGAAAACCAGGTTATAGAATGTTAAAATAACATGACAAAGCAAAGTGAAGACATTCTTGTTTATACTAGAATAAAAGACTAGAGATAAAGCCTCTAAATCACTGAACCAGTTTTGAAAAAATTGACTGAAACCGACGATTTGCAACCAAAATGTTATGATATGCTTTAAATATATTTTTTTATATTGCAAGATACCTTGTTAAATTACCACAAAAAGAAACTTCCAAGGTATGGTTTAACACTCCCTCACTTATTTGAAAATATAATAAGAAAGTGTATGTGAAAAGAAGCCAAACACAAGAAAAAAAAATAATTAAACGATCAAAGCAAAGAATTGTTTTGTTTTTTAGCGGAAAGTTTCTTGCTCTTGGGTAATCGTCCAAGTTATTTATTATTACCTTCTTAAATTTACAGATCTCTATTTCTGAGTCTGACGACGATCTATCTGGAAAAACTTCTGCGTCGGCATCGCTATCGTCGAATGTAGAATGTGGCGAAAAATCACCCTGCAAAAGTTACTAAAATATAATATCATCATTTTTCTTAGTTAACAATTTACTGTTTTACTTCATTCTCCATTTTGCACATACTTAAACCATGCGAGCTGGATAACTAATATGCATCCGATATTATGATTTAACCTTAGAATATCGCCCAGCGACGCTGTCTACTTTTTCCGTAAATGGAAGCAAAATGATGCGCGCAGTGAAATAAATAAAATATACTGTATGGTATACTATGTCTACACCAAGTATTAAATTGCCACCATTTATTTATACTTTTCATTCAGTGCACCATTTTGCTTCCCTCTGTGTTGCCAAATTTAATTTTTTCAATGAACATAGAGAAAGTAGCAATTTGACCAAACGTATTGATTTCGAAAGTTGATAATACTTGAAATACTTGAAATAGAGGTATCCAATTTTGTTTTTAGTGTTCCTTAATTGTTTTTACAAGAACAACATTTTAACACACTATTCCTTCAATCCAAGAAGTTTTGTTTTTTTTTTAAAGGAAAAAGTCATAAAACGACTAACAGATAATAAAATTTAATATTTTCCTCAGTGCATCCTCTGAAAAGTCTTCGACAGTTGATAATAATCGAGATATATGTAGGTTCTTTTTTAATATATCCTATTTGGTGATGGGAAAAAGTGAATAGATGTTGAGAGACAAAGAGAATACAATCTGGAAATGCAAGTCGTCTTGTTTTAAATTTATTTTAAAAACTGAAAAAATTATAAAAATGCTAACGGCTAATAAAAATTTGTCTTTTACTCAGCGCATCCAACCAGGAGTAATAGGAGCATTTTTCTTTGTTTATTGCATTTCAATAATATTTACCACCCAAAAGCACTTAAAGAATTCAACAAACAAACACAAATTTAATCCATAAACTAATTCAAAAAAAGTTTAACATAATGCATGGATGATGGAAATACAACAAAATCAAAGCGTCGATGAAGACACAAAGTTCAAAATAAACCATAAAATAATATATTGCAACGTTGCCATTACTGTGAGAAAATATTCCCGCCAAGGACTCAAAATAGCCCTTAAAATGAAAAATAATGTACGGGCATGTATACGATCATTACGCCACGTGGTGCCAATTTCGTGAACTAAAAAAAATATACGTTTTCCATATCGCAAACGAAATTGCTTCCGGAGCATTCGTTACCACAGTTCTGAAACTCACAGAAGGGCAAACTAAAACGAATCAGAAAGATATGGTGGATACTGAGTGAATCGTCTAAATTTGGTTTATTTATAATCCATGGTAACAGAATTATTGGGCAAAACTATTTTGCGTCCGATATACGATATATATATATATATATATATATATATATATATATATATATATATATATATATATATATATATATATATATATATATATAATGTGTGTGTATGTACATGTATATATATGTATATAAATATATATATATATATATATATATATATATATATATATATATATATATATATATATATATATATATATATCTGCCGAAAGGAACTACTCCACTTCAGAAAGGGAAGCTTTAGCAGTAGTATGGGCACTGAACAAATTTAGAGGCTACATAGAAGGCTCATCTATCGTAGTGCAAACCGATCATCAACCTTTGAGATGGTTACTCAATCTAAAGTCACCCACAGGACGTCTAGCGCGGTGGGCTTTGCAAATTCAAGGTTATGACGTAAAGATTGAATATTTATCAGGCAAACGGAACGTGGTAGCAGATACCCTATCGCTACCGCCTTGCGCACATGATGAACAAAGGACTTGCGAAATCTGCATGGTAACGATCGAACTGCCGCATCTTAGCGCCGAAGAGATAAGAATAGAACAACTAAAAGACCCGGAACTCGAAAAAATAATCAGGAGTTTCGAATCAACAAATTCAGAAGATATTGCACGATGGACAGACCGTGGATATCTAACATCTCAGGGAGTTCTGTACAAGTATTCTTCAGAAGAAGAGGAAGAAGAAGCTCAACTGGTTGTCCCTAGCCACGAGAGGGAAAAGGTTCTCCAAGAGTAGCACGTCTCACCAAGTGCTGCACATTATGGTGTTGAGCGAACTTTACAGAGAATAGCCAAACGATATTACTTCACCGGAATGAGGCGATACATAGCCGAATGACCTTCATTGTCGAAGACAACTCATTAAAGTCGGTTGAGTTATTTGCCTTAAAGAGAGCCACCGCCGAAGAATGCGCACGGACTCTCATCGACGAAGTATTTTTCCGGTATGGTTTGCCTAGAAAAGTAATTAGCGATAACGGTGTACAGTTTGTGTCAGCCGTCATGCAACAAGTATGCTATATACTAGACATCAAGGAAACGCTTATACCATTGTACCACGCATCAGCAAATATGGTTGAAAGGAAAAACAGAGATCTCAAACCAAGACTAGCAATGCTTGTTAAAGAAGACCATGGTTCATGGCCCGAGAAACTGGCGACGATCAGATTCGCTATGAACAGCGCATGGAATGAAACAACTAAGCAATCTGCTGCTTACCTCACCTTTGGGAGAGAATTCAGGACCCTCGATGACATCAACAAAGATTTCCGCGTAATAGCAAATACGGACAATTTCGTACCACAGATCACCCCTTATCTTCAGAAAATTGCAAGGACATGGAACGAAGCTAGGAACAGGTTCAGCTTGCCGGAAAGCCGAAAGAACGCTCGGTCGTACCGGTCGCGTTCTTGCGGATCGTCCTAACGGAGCACGGAACATCCGACCCAAAAAACGCGACAGGTACCGCATGGAAACAAAATTCCATATATATTTAAAACATCTGAATTTTAGGCAAACGTTTTGAGACAATATGTTGCAATAATTTATCCACATACACAAGTAAAATACCGCTTTCGATTGCTTTTTAGCGCATTAATTACGGACCACCCTAGATGGCAAATTACACTATTTATAAACTATTTTGTAATTGTACTAATTGATTTTTTTAATTTATGTATTATTTTATGATAACTACCATATTTTTGTTCCTTATTAGTTTAAGGTGAATGCTTATAGAAAAAGAATTATAAAGGAATTATGTGGCATTCCGTGGGAATCAAGTGGAATTCAGAGGATTTCCGAAAATTTATCACTCGAAGAAGAATTTTGGTGTACACATAAGGATTTTTAAATATATTTTTCAAAATCTTGAAGTTATACGTATGTGTAGCAGAATAGAAAAAATTGTTCCATTTTTTCTGTCATTAGCGCTTGGTCTATTCTGGTTATTATATTTATTCTTGTGATTTCACACATCACACACACACCCACACACACACACACACACACACACACACACACACACACACACACACATTAACTATTGAAACTAGTACTGTTCCACAAAAATATTACTTATTAAAAAAAAAACTAAAGCTAGAGACAAAACAAAATAAAATTTACACTTCTGTGTGATCTATATATCTATAAAAGCATTTGCAAACAAAAAGGTTGCGATTTTACTTCAAACTCCTTTTCTTTATATATTCATTTTGAACGAAGGCTTTGATTTTTGGCCAGTCTTTATTGTCGAACAGTCCTGGATATTTTTCTTTCAGTGCTAAACATTCAAACTATTTAGGAGGTTGACATTTTTTTTATATGTTTGGAAAAGTAATGAATGACTTCCCTTTTTTCTCAATTCTCAAGAAACAAATTTTGTCCTTTCGCTTGGTGTAATTTATCCGATGTTCCCATGCATTTTTTCCTGTGACGCCAAAGCTGCTTTGAGGCAAAAAAACCTTTACAGTTTGTGCAGGGTAATATTTTTTGGCTAGATTGTTGTTTTCTAACAGGCTTCTGAAATACGCTACTATTTAAAAAGCTGCCTTTTCTTAATAAGAAATTCAACAATTTTCTTCTTTCAGGATCTCTAGCTGACAAAGAGATAATTTTCTGCACGCTATTTTCAATACTATGTGGCCCTACATACATGTCGAGCAAAATTTAATAGATAGCTTTCAGAATACATACAAAAGTCCTTTTTTTGTGTTTTCTTTCCTTCTTTCCCCATTTTGTTTAAACTCTTCCAAATTTTGTGATGGATTGGATTCAGTGATTTCATTTAAGCTCTGTCGAGAACCATTGGAAGTTACCGCTTCTTCGTATTCGGTATCTACAAAAGAAAATAATTATTATGCATGTAACTGAATTAATTAGTTACTTTTCAAACGGGAAAAATAAAAATTTTAGCGGTCTTAAAATTTTAGCCCAACTTTGGTTCTGTTATGTGCAGTAAAAGTTTCAAATTGAATTAATTTGCTAATTGTTAAATTGGTTTTTTGTTTAATGCTAAAAAAAACTTAATTGAATTTGTAGATGCTGAATGCACGTTTGAAGTATTACAGCAATTAAATGGCCTAAATGTTATAAAATAGAACTAAAAAAACATGCGTCTACTTGTTAGTGAAGTCGAGATTCTGGAAAAACTTTGTCTATTATTGATATTTTAAAATTGTTTTAATTTTTATTAATTTAAAATTCCGAATATTTCGATTATAGTAGCACTTTCCATATATGATTGGTTACGATCTGAAAGTATAAAAAAAAAGATTTTTATTTATTTATTACAGCAGTTGGGGATATACGTTCTTTGCGTGTAGATCGGTGTTTATTTTATCTTTTAAAAGTACCGTTCATACAAGATGTTCAAAAAAACAATATTTTTGAGCACGGTGTATAAATCCCAGCTAAGATTAGAGTAACACAGCTAAGCAAAGGTGTACTTTTGGAAAATAAATGACAATTTTTGCAGAATTATTTCTAGTATCTGTACAATTTTTTTTTCCAAAATTAACCATATTTTTGTGTATTCTGTATACAATTTTAATACAAACTTTTTGTTTTAGGTGATTTTGGGTGTGCTTGTGCCACCCGCTTTATTTGTAAAACACCAAATAAGTTTTCATGTTTTGGGGTTTT